AAGGGGCCTAACCGAGCAAGTCCCTAGCAGTCAAAAAAGGGTTAAAAAAAATAAAAAAATACACAATCAAATCGAATAAAATATAAAAATTATATTTAAAGAATGATTAAACAAAGTACATCCTAAGAAGTTTAAAATTAAATAATCGATTTGTGCCCAAAGGTATTTTTAAAAAAATTCAAAAAGATTGAAAAATGTACAAATAAGCATTAATGGCCAAAAAAAATTTCAATATTTTTCAAAATAATTAAAATATAAAAAATACATTACAAATACAATCCCTTATTTTTGGGATTTTATATATTTTTTTTATAATTTTTTTAAAATGCCTAACTACTTTACCAAAATCAGCCAAAACCAGAACCGACCAGTTCCGATCTAATCGGGCAGTTAGAATTTGAACCGCCCGATTTTTCCTACCCTGGTTTGTACATATTATTTTCTAATTAACATATCTCCCAATATTGCTATTGACTATAAAGCACCAAAAGAGGTTTCGACTGGTGAAACAATTGATTGTTCTTTTTTCCACAATTTTGGATGTGATGCATATTCTTTGATTCCAAAAGTGAAGATTTATTTCTTCTATAATTTTGGATGTGATGCATATTCTTTGATTCCAAAGGAGAATAGAACTAGCAGGAAAGGGGCTTAGTTCGTGGTGGTAGCATCCCACACTTTAGTCACCATATTGTGGTTTCCATTTCCACCACTAATACCAACCCCCTAATACATTCAAAAAGCTAACTCCTAATCTACTTGAAAAAAAAAAGGTAATGACCTATCTTCCCCACTGAATTACCCAAAAAAAAAAAAGAGAATAGAACTAAGTTGGATTAAAATCCAAAAAATACACCTTTCTTGGCTATGCAAATGGTACAAAGGGGACACATTGTGGAATCCTACTGACCGTAAAAAATTATGGAAGAAAAGAAAGATGAGCTAGATACAAAAATTATTGAAGTAGAATGCCTTCATGAGAACCAGCGAGATGGTGGTCAGGAAAAAAGACTGAAATTATCCAAAAGCTTAAAGAATATTTAAGCGGTGTTGAATGAGAAGATCTGAAAGACCTTAAAAAGTTCCAGTAATGCTTAATGACTATATCTTATCTTATGCTTGCCTAATAAATGAGGGTGAGCCACTTTCTTAGCATGAGGCATGTGAGGTCAATGAAGTGGAGAGTATCTGTAGAAGAGTAGATGGAGACCTAGTGAAAAAATAAAATATGGGACCTCGTCAAATTGCCAGAGGAGCGAAAAGCAATTTGTTACAGGTATATTTTTAAGAAAAAAAAAAAAGGTCATGATGATTTTGTTGAAAAATACAAGGCTCGATTGGTTGTGAAAGGTTATACTCAAAGTATTCATTTTGATGAAATTTTCTTATTTTTTGAGCGCATGACCACTATTAGAGTGTTTTAGCCTTAATTTAGAGTTCGAACAATTAGATGTGAAAACTACTTTCTTGCATGATAAATTTAAAAAAGTAGAGAGGACACAGATATTTCTAGTATCATATTCATTAGCAGTAGAGAGCCTCATATTTGCGATGGTTAGCACTAGATCTAACATAGTATCAGTAGTGGGATTTGTAATCATTTTACTACTATGAAGTGGATTTTTTGTTATTCGAAGGGATCTTATAATGCTAGTATTTGTTACATCATATAAGTCGCCGATTATATTGATGGAGATTTTATAGGTGACTTGGATCACATAAGGTCTATTACTGGGTACGTATTTTCTTTGGGAGGTGTTGCAATTAGTTGGTTATATAGGTCGCAGTTTGTAGTTTGAATTATGACAATGGTTGGCCTTTACAAGGAAAGAGGTAGGACCTCCATGGGAGAGAATAATGATCTCTTGCAGAGAGAAGCATGACCTCCAAGAATTAGATATGGTTTTTCCTTGAGTTTAGGATTTGTCCAGCTTTCACTTTTAGAGAGAAGACTCTCAAGGTTCTCTGTTCAGTTAATATAGCAATGAAAAAGAAGAAGATATATCGGCAATATGTTTTTGGTCAGTGCTGCAAGTTAAGAAGGAAAATTGGTCAAAGCTTTGTTGATGCTTAGAAAGTAAGATATATCACTTGTAACCTAAAACTTTAATATTCATTCATAATGGATTTCGACCTTTTTTTTTTAAGGCCAAGCCACCTTGAGGTGAACCTTGCTAATACGTGTTGTTGTTGTGCCCTTTTTGGTTTTGATTTATTTCTAGGAGTTGTTTTCTTGTTGAATTCACTTGTTTCGTATTATTGGTATGTGTATGACTTTGGGTGACATCCCGATATTTTGGGTTCTTTCTAGAAAAATTGTTTCATGCGGGCTGGACCGCATTTTTACATAAGCGGTCCTGTCCAAAAATTGTTAAGGCATCCATCTTAAAGATGGATGCAAGTAGGTGTTCATCTAAAAACAATAGAAACTAACGGTCCAAATGTTTTTTTACTAAAATTATTATTTGTAGTTTTTAAAACTTCTTTATTTTTTCATATTCATGATCTCCATGTTAGAGATTACGCGTCCTTAAAAATTAAGTCTTAAAATCCTTCTCAAAAATAGATTTATTAAGAAGCCCGCATTTCTACATATGCGGGCTTAGACGCATAGAAACCGGGTCCTCCTTTTTTTTTGTGGGGGTTTCTGGAGGAACCTACAAACTAGGAGCTCAAATGGATCATTCCTATGACACTTTTGCATAGAGAATGATCAGATTTGTGTTGAAGATATCTCCTCCTCTAAATTTGCCCACTTTTAACTGATAAAAAAGGGGTCTAACGCCTTGTCCGACCTATGCTAATGAGCTCATTTGTAGACATGAAGACTATGATTTTGCTTACTTGTCTTAACCAAAAAATTTATCTCATGGGAGGGTTTACACTTTAATGGGAGAAGATATTAAGATGGAGAATTTATTTGTGATGCATTGCCATATGCTTCAGTGGAGATGAATGGTTATTTGATGAGCCAATGCATTGATTGAATTTGTCAGTTAGGATTTTGGTTGCTTTGGCTTTTGCTTTCTTGGCCTATGATCTTCAGAACCAGAAATTATTTCAGGAGATGATTTATACATAAAAACAGAAGATGTTGAGATAGAAAATTTGTTTGTGCTGTTTTGCCCCTATGCTTTAGTGGGAACCAAGGGTGACTTCATAAGCCAATGCATTTATTGAATTTGTGGCTGATAGAGCTCTTTGGGGTGTGAGAAAATCTAGGAGGTTAAAAACCCCATTTGATTGGATGGAGGGAGCTCATATCTTTTGCATGGAAATATCAAGATGTTATACAGTTTCTATTTCCTTTTTTTGCCTTATTTTTTCTATCTTTGGTGTTATACAGTTTATGATGAATGAATTAGTAAAGGGTTTTTTGTGATCTCGCCTATTCAATATGGGTTTGGATCACGTGATGAATGGTAATCCAATCTTCCAAGTCTCTTTCGATCGAAACTAGACTTTTTAAATATTATGTGAAACACTGAAGAAATGGGGATAGATTAATTCCATTCCAGTTTTCTACTATTGATAAAGGGTGTGGTTTGCGTAACGTTGCAACCTTAAACAATCAAATTAAGGTGGACCTCCAAACTTTATTGTGAAATAGCAAATTTTGGTATGAAAAATTACAATCAAATTAAGGTGGGCCTCCAAATTTTTTTGTGAGATGGCAATTTTGGTATCAAAAATTCTTAGGATGGTGTGAGAATCTATTTTTATCTTTAGTTATAAAGCTCTAAACTCCAAAATGGTTCAAATCAAACGCATCTATAAACTCATGAAAACCTTGAAAATAGACGGTCCAAATAATGTATTACAAGATGTGCTATTGTTAGAACTTAAAATCTCTTTTTTTTCTCCATATCTATGTATCTCAGATGTCAAGATGATCAATTAGATGCTTTCTAAGATAAAAAAATACCTTTTCCGAAAGATTTTAGAGGTCCACCTTAATTATACATGTTAAAATGTCAACCTTACACTTTTTCCTTTGATAAATGACAACATGCTCGTTGTTATATAGACGAAAGCGAGAACAAAGTCATAACTCATAACCACTGATATGAGTGATTATCACTAGAATTGTGACTTGTGAGTACATGCAAGAAATGAGTCATAAACCTAACTACCGGGGTCGATGTTTGGCAACAGTACCCAAAAGTTAGCAAAAAAAATTTGAGGTTAAAGAATCCTACTTAAGGTGTTTTAGTGGAGCTGCAATAGTTCATGGTCTGTGCACACAGTATAATCTGGGGCTGCATTGGTGTTCAGCCCAGTCCTGTTTCGAATAGCACTACAACTTATTAAGGTACATTTTCCTCAAATGATGTCATATACATTTGGGACTTATGTTTTTCATACAACCGGGTCAAAAAGTGGACATGCATAAATATTTTGCCGACCAGTTCCCTGTACCACCATCATCATATCATCATCTGAGTATTATCCCAATTATTTGAAGCCTTCTAGTACTCCGTACTACAATGTTTACAATAATAAAATTAAATGCATTCAGTATTCCAATCAAGGAGGCCTTGATCTCAATGTTTGAAGAAAGCACAATGTACACATGACTCTGCTTTGGATACGAATGAGGCCTAAAAAGATTAAAAACATCGTGTTAAAACCAAAGGTAAGGCAGAGACACAGGAACCAGGTCTGACTTCTTTATCCACACTATAGCTAAACGAATGAACTACAAATAAACTCCAAGAACACAATTCAATGTACCATGAAATCGAAGTCTCATTGTTATTGCTTACAAATGACCACTCGAGGCTGTACAGAAGAAATTTTAGCATATTAATAGCCCTTCACATGTACAAGTCAACAACTAACCAAGGCTGCATTATCCAAATTATTTGTCAAGAAAAATTTTCATTTGAAACACACTCCCTTAATTCACATTTCATTGCACTCCCTTTAACACATATTTCAACTGCATAGACCACTCACAAAGATTATTACTTCTGGCTTGACAGCCCCTCCACTACCAGTCCCAAAGTTCGATGAATTTTCATTATTTAGCAAATTTGGATAGCTCCTTAAAACTTACAGTGCCCTCCAAAACCAATTATGCAGACATCAGATATGCTCAATTGAGGTGTTCATGCTCCAAATCAACACATGCATATATGTTTGGAACAAATTTCCCTTCTAATTTACTGCCATCATGAAATATTATGCCAAAATTTCAAGCCACAATGAATACATTCCGGAAGCATTGAGCTTCCAAAAATTCTCAAAAAAAAAAAAAAACCCAGAATGTGTTACTATTATACAGAACACGACCTCATATACTATACAGAATAAATATCAGAGCCCATAGGAAGGCAAAGCTCCCCAGCTGACCGTTAGGGAGTGTGGTATAACCGTGAACATATCACTCTACTCTAACTCGGAGTATAAGGTGCACATCTCTCTTGAAGATGGACCTCAATTCTTCATTGGCTTCGATTCCAATTCTCCTGCATTATCACACAAAGACAGCACATGCATGGAAAGTTTGAGGGGACAGTTTATAAAAGTAGCTCAACAAAATAAAACGAGAATAAAAAATATATGAAACAAATAAAAATAAAAAAGGGAAATGATTTGGTGGTCCTGCTAGACTAGCAGCAGTATATGGTTTGTCGCCCAAAACACAGTTCGGGAGATCTTTTTTTAGCCCAAAATTTTCACACCAACTTTACTCATCCCTATGATCAATTTAAAAACAATGATTCACAGCTCAAACAAAAATGTCCCAAATTAAAATCCCCCTCAAACATTTAACTCAGAATCATCTATTTAGAGTGTATCATGTTGAGGATTTTAGGGGCTAAAAATCTTTTTCTTTTCCTTTTTTTGAAATTGCTCACAAGGTGAATCAAGGATGATTGGAGAAAGGGTGTATAAGCGCACTCCTACTGGAGAGGATTTTACACTTACTCCTTGGGCAAAGACATACTTAAAAGGATTTTTTTTTATGAAATTTCAAGATCCATTTTAGAATCAACAGACAAGTATTTCTTAAAAGTTAAAAAAAAAAAAAAGGATTTTAAGTATCAACACTTTCATCTGAGCACCAAAAATTGGATGTCTTTGTTCAATCCTAAGATGCAATTTTATTCAGAATATATAAAGAGCATATCAAAATTTTCTTTTTCTAGGTTAAGTAGGTTATGTACACCACAATTTGGGGCCGAAGGGAGTAAATGTACATTTTGCTACTTTAGGAGCATATAACTTTTCGCTCTGCAAATTCCAGATAAAAAAGATCCCTTCAGCTGTGTGTTTAGTGCGGAAGAACATCTGCTTGGGTGGTCGCTATCAGCGACAGAAAAAACAAAGTCATCATGCACACTTCTGCAATCAATAATTAAAGTGACAACATTGTAAAGCAAGGTTTAAAAAATGGTCCGCCCGATGCCTAGGTGCCCAAGACGCCTCTGGCCATACGCTTAGATCTAAACACCCCATTCTAGGCATATGTACCTGGGTGGGCACCTAGGCAGGTGTCCAGGGATGTGTGGGCCTTTTTTCAATTTTTTAAAGATGCCCAAATGGGAAAAAAGGGTAATTTTGACCCCAAAAACATTTAAACAGGTTATGGGGGGTATTTTCATCCCCCTAAAGTTAAAAGAATATTTTCATAAGCCCTCAATCTCTTAATAGACATGTAGATGTTAGATATTTCGCCTTTTTGGATTATTTGTTGTTTGGTTTTATACTTTTTTAAGTTTGTTGAAGACTTTGAGAGTTGGAGTCTTGGAGTCCATGTTATTATGGAATATGGAGAGTTTGAGACTATTACTAATACAGAGTATATTAAACATTTAAATTTGTATGGTTTGAATTTTGAAACTTTAAACAAGTTTATTCTCTAACATGCGATATGTCATATGTTTGTATACAGTATGTTACAATATTTTCAAATGCAATAAATTACAACATTGACACAGCATATATGTGTGTTTGGACAACACATATATGTATATATCTAAAGAATTTGTACTACAGGACGCCTGAGGTTCTGGATGCCTGCCTGGGCATTGGGCGACAGGCCGGCCGCCTAGCCTTTTTTTAAACCCTGTTGTAAAGTAATAAAATATTGTGATTGACAAAATAGAAAACTCCATTCTGATGAAAAAGTTCTTCAACGTAATTTTATACTCTGTTAACTGTGAAATGTGGAGGCAGACTGCACGAGTTTCAAGTGAGATAAAGACTTCCCAGCTTTCCAATTGATCAGAACAACTTCAAAACAGTTTGTTACAGATATGCAGAGTACCATCGATACCAAATCAAAATTATTCATGGCAAAAGCTCATGGCTGATATTTAATAGAAAGTTAAGGGGTGGCAATGCTAAATAGGTAAGTCATTAATTCTTTTTTTGACAAAAAAAAAAAGAAGAAATTCTCAACTGCAACCAAAAAAAAAACCATACGGGAATTCAAGCAGAGGCAAAAATGATACAGCTGTCAACTTAATCTACTATAAAACCCGTCAAACTTTCCTACATTTCACATGCATGATACACAATGAAAAATGCTTTCTTTTATGACAAGTGACATTTATTAGGAGTAAGAGAAAATATACATCAGTTGCATTCAGGTTATAACAACTCCAAATCACATGCAAGCTGCTGAGGTCCTTTAAACTAACCCATCTGCATGCAATATGAAAATGGGAAGCATATGAAAATCCACTGGACAATGGACAGTAATAACCTATCATCTGTGATTCATGTATACTTCAATCGATAGCATAGGAAGATGCGATTGTTTGTTGATATATTGAAGTCCACAGTTAGATTCAGCATAGTTAACTAGCGTAAATCAATCAATTCATATATGAAAAAGGTAACAAATATAAATATCGTCTGTGATTCATGTATACTTCAATCGATAGCATAGGAAGATGCGATTGTTTGTTGATATATTGAAGTCCACAGTTAGATTCAGCATAGTTAACTAGCGTAAACCGATCAATTTATATATGAAAAAGGTAACAAATATAAATATCGTCTGTGATTCATGTATACTTCAATCGATAGCATAGGAAAATGCGATTGTTTGTTGATATATTGAAGTCCACAGTTAGATTCGGCATAGTTAACTAGCGTAAATCAATCAATTTATATATGAAAAAGGCAACAAATATAAATAAATAAAATCATACCCAATTTTGGAGCCATTCTTTCCGACAATAATTTTCCGGTGGCCTTGCTTTTGTGCGATGAAATGCTGTTCGACTCGTAGCGAACCATCTCTCAAATCCTTCCAATCAACTAAGCGATGGTCTAAAGCATATGGTATTTCCTAAAGCATAAAAGATATCACACCACGAGTCACACTCATATGCACGAGGACAGAATCAAACTTACATATTTTTCCTATCACTTACAACTAATAATTAGAGTTAAATAATACCTGATGAATATGATCTAACATCTTCTCACGGACAACTTCTAATGATACACTTTTCAGAAAGTCTTCACTCAAGCGCGTAGGATCTTCATCCCATGGTCTTTTAACTGCCTAAATATAAAAAATTCAGAGGAGCACCACTAGTCATTGCTACCATAGATGAGATCAGAATTTGTTAGGTGATAAACATTGGAGATATGAATGTGGAGTATACCAGGTTGTAATTCATCAGACAAAAAAGTTTAGAAACCAATGCCACGTTTTGTTATTGTAGACATGGTTCATGGAAGAATTGAATAAGCAAATTTAAATGTTAGCCTATTCAGAATATAAGTAACAAATTGTGCAAACTATTAGTGGTAGTGTATTGCGCATTAGAAAGCACAGTAGCAATGATAAGAGAAAAAGACAGTTCTTATGTTTAAAACAACTCTTACCACCATTTACCCCAAAAGCAAAAAAGTCAAAAAAAAAGAAAAAAAGAAAAGAAAAAAAAGAAGAATACTCCAAAACCCAAAAAGCATAAAAATGGGTCCCTGAAGCTACATTAGATTTATTAGTAGAACATAGGAAAGGTTATTATATAAAGGGTAATATATATGAATTCAAGTTGGCGTAATAACGTAAGATTTAGAAAGGAAACATGCCTGCTCCGTCAGGTAATCTACAAGGTCTTTCACTCCTGAACCTTGCAGCCCCGATATCATAAAGAACCTACAGAACTCAAACACAAAAATAATTTTTTAAAAAAAAAGGGCAAAAATTACAGTGAGTGCTTCAACATAAATAGAAGTAAATCGGTAATTAAAATAAACAGCAACTATCAGGATATAGAAGGACATCACACAAACAATATTACTGACCTCTCATAACCAGGAAGCTCACCGAATTCCTTAGCAACCTTCAATAAATCTTTCTTCACTTCAACCAGATCAACTTTATTCATGCATAACACACGCTTTTGTTTGGGATGGACTTCTTCACCCAAATGTTTAATCAACCTTGTGACCCTCTTGTCTGGTCTGAATTAAGTTCAGACACATTAGACGTAAGAAATTATTCAGAGGCAAACAACTTATGCATTGCACTAGTTAGCAAACAGGTCGATATTTGGGAAAGGATATTTAAGGGCACAAAAATTGATGGATATACAGACTGTGGCTTTGGATAAGGTGTTAACAGTGTTACAAGTACATCCGAAGCACGAACCCTACTGCTGAACTACCAATAAAGGAAAAAAAAACTGATGGAGATCCTCTTGTTGGTACCATTCAAACATAATTGTTGAACAAAGAGAAATATTACAGCAAAAATGTTAAATTAAATGGAATACTGGGACTACAGAAATGTCAAAAGAAAACTAAATAGGAATAATGTAGACACAACAGCCTTCCATTCTTACTGCTAAAGAAATTAGATCTTGTCCTGTTTCTTGATCATTAAGTTTCACCAAAGAATAATTGGCTGGTGGTATAAGCTCTACTACTAAATTCAGAGCCCTGTTTTCCTTCATAAATAACTAAAATTACACACATGAATTATGGATACTAAAAGTGGTAAGCAGATAGCACCATACAATGTGTCACATTCATAAATAACTAAAATTACACGCATGAATTATGGACACCAACAGTGATAAGCAGATAGCGCCATACAATGTGTGACATTGTTGATCATCCTCTACAAGAATACAACCAATGTGTTTAACAAGCCTATTCTCAAGTAAGGGCCAGGCATGGTTTAGGGATACCTAGCAGTGTTCAAAAACACGGACCGCCCAACGCCTAGGCGATCCAGAAGGCTTGGGCGCATCGCCCAAGCCTAGGTGGCCAAACTGGGCGGTGGTCCCTGGGCGGCCGCCTAGGAGGCCGCCCAGCGCCTAGCCCTGGCCGGCTGTCTAGGACCTGCACCCCGCCCAGAGGCGGAATTATTATTATTATTATTTTTATTTTATTTTTTTTTTTAAAAGATATAAAAGGTTAGAAGGAGAATTATTTTTTTATTTTTTATTTTTTTTTTATTTTTTTATTTTTTTTTAAAAGATATAAAAGGTTAGAAGGAGGGATTTTAGGTTCATTTGAAACCTGAAGCCACAATATTTTTAGAGATAAAGAAACCTCCAGAAAACTACATTTCATTGGATTGAAGTGTTTCTCAAAGTTTGGAATTCGAACAATCAAAGTAAGTGCAAAACTTTATTTTTTAGATTGCTTGTTTTATTTTGAGATGTATTCTTCAAGAGTTAGTCGGAGTAGAGATCTGGGTTGGAAATATGGATGCAACTCGAATCCAAATGACAAAAAATGCGTTCGATGCAATTTTTGTGAAAAAGATACAAAAGGCGGCATAAACCGGTTTAAAAAAACATCTTGCCGGTATCAAGGGGGATGTTGCCCCTTGTAAAAATATTCCTGAAGCTATCAGAGAGGAGATTAAGCAATATATAAGTTATGTAAAACAAAAACAAGAACAAAATCCTTGTCGTAGATCTATTTCTGCTACTTTTAGAAGAAGTGATCCGTGTTGGAAGTATGGGTACAACCCAAAACCAAATGATAAAAAATGTATAAGGTGTAATTTTTGTGAAAAAGATACCAATGGGGGTATTAGCCGATTCAAAAAACACATTGCTGGTGCTAGCGGGTACATTGCTGGTGTTAGAAGTAATGTTGCTTCTTGTACAAAGGTTCCTGAAGCAGTTCGGGATGAGAATAAACATCTTCTGAATTTAGAAGAGTCAGAAAAAGATGAAAATAAGCCTTGTTCTATGGAAGCATCTTCTCCAGGTTCTCGTCGGGGTGGTGACTCGGGTTGGAAGTATGGTTATAACCTGAATCCAAGCGATAAAAATCCTATTTAAATGTAATTATTGTGAAAAGGATACTAATGAGGGCATTTACCGGTTTAAAAAACACCTTGCCGATTAAGGGGGATGTTGCCCCGTGTAAAAATGTTCTTGAGGCTACCAGGGAGGAAATTATACAATATTTGAGTTTAGAAAAATACAAAGAAAATGGTAGAGCAACCAAGACTCTTAGGGCCTCATTTGCATAGACTGCACATACTAGTAAGAGGAAGGTAGAAGAAGAGGCAGATTCAGAAGAAACAGAGGAGGACGAGCGTTATATTGAAGAGGGAGATGACTCTGATGATGATGGCCTCGACTCTGATGCATATGATGAGGCTTGCCCTATTGATATTTCTTCTGATGATGCTGATGGTGACTGAAGACTCTTGCCTCTTGGTGCTGAGTGTTGAGTGTTGACTTCTGTGTTGAGTCATGAGTGTTGACTTTTGTTAGACTGTATATTTTCTAAATTTCCGTACATTTCTGTTGTGTTGAGTGTTGACTTTTATATCCTACACTTGTATGATTTTACAGTATATTGTTTTAACAATATAGATTATCAAAATTCTCTTCTCGACGTCTATCTCTTTTTTTTTTCAACTTGGAATATGGTATATTGGTATGTTTTTTTCAACTGGGCTCCCGCCTAGAAGGCCGCCTAGGCGCTGGGCAGCCTGGACCCCCCAGGCCGCCTAGGACCCGCCTAGCGCTTTTTGATGATACACTGATACCTAGTGAAGTATGTTTTGTATACCCTGTGCAATCACAAGCTAAGCGGGGTTAGATCGGGGTGTCCATTAGGCAAGGTGCATAGGGAGAACATGGTTAGCTAAGTATGTATGCACTTAAAGAAAGCAAGTTATTTATTTTGAGTTAGTGAGGGTGAAATAGGTGCTTAAGATTTACCACGAAGACGCTAGGCCAATGGGATTTTAACACCATAGCGGTGTTTTGATTAATGTAAGGTACAAAAGAGAACGATCCATATGAAGAATTTCAAAAGGACAGAGTAGGTAAAAAATACACATTTTAAACTTTCTTAAAATAAACAAGGCACAGCAAGGAAGAAAGAACAAGTATAAACCAATATAAAAGGGATATAAAACAGAGCAAAAATTTGAGTCCAAAGGTATCGTTGTGTACGAACTTACATTTCAAGATGCCTATGAACATCAAACAGAACTATCAGAAGATCATAGAGGTCAACTGAACTCCATGCACTTTCCACTCTAACCCTCACATCAGTTCTGTAGGGATATCCATCACGTTTGAGCATAAGTCCTGGGGTGTCATATAAACACTGTATGCAGCCAATCAGAACCACATCAAAAGTTAATGAAAATAGAAAGATTTCCATTACCTAATGCAACAAAAGTATCAGACAATGGTTACTTCACACAGTACATTTTCCTATAATTAATCACAATTAATGGACAAGGGCAAAAAATACAAAGGGAGGACACCATAAACTAGTGTATGAAACATTATGGAACATCGAATACAAAAAGAAGTCAAGCATACTGCTTTGAACATTAAATACTGTGACCTAGTTGACAATAATTTTTGCAAATTTTAAGCCTTAAGATGGACTATGATGGCAAGGTATAAAAACATATGGAAAACTTGCAGAAAGACTAAATGCCCCATACCTAGGAATTAAAGGTTTAATAAATTTGAGTTAAGGATAGGCATAAATTATCCCTAACTCGTCATTGAAAATTATAACCACAATCACTAACTCGTCATTGAAAATTATAACATCCATGTAAGCCTCCTATTCAAAAAATCGACTTTCAAATGACAGTTTCAGGAAGCAACAGTTGACGAAAAATATAAACAGTGAGAGCGGTACAAAAATATTTTCAGAACTTCAAAAGAACAAAAGAACATAGAAGCAGCAGCAACACAAAGTTTTAACGATGAAGATGGTGTTCGAGTAACCCAATTCCTAATATAGAAGGACAACACCAATTCAAGCCACGATGCAAACACATGTAGGGTTCATCAATTGGAGAAAAAAGCACATTTAGTATCAGAAAAATAGAAGAAAAGTGGGAACTAACAACATCACTGGATTTCATTTCACTATCTAGCAATTATGCAACTCAATGTCACCATTTCAAAAATAAATAAAAAATTATGAAACTCAATCATCATCATGATCATCATCAAGCTTTTTCCCAACTATTTGAGGTTGGCAACACGAAACCTGGTCCGTCATTTTGCTCTATCAAAGACCATACCCTCAGTGAGCCCATAAGTCACTCTATACGTTTTCACTATTTCCAACAATGTCCTTTTGGGCATACCCCTTACCCTTTTTAAGCCTTCCACTTGAACTAACTCGCACCTCCTAACAAGTGTCGTACTGGGTCTGCGCTGCACATGACCAACCCACCTAAGTCTAATTTCTCTCATATTATCACCTATTGGAGCCCCACCTAAGTTCTCCCGAATGTATTCATTTTGAATTTTATCCCTTCTTGTCTTGCCACTCATCCATATTAACATCTTTATCTTAGCTACACTCATCCTATGGGTATATTGTTTCTTGACCACCCAACATTCTACCCCATAAAGCAAAGTTGGTCTCACAATTGTCCTATAGAACTTCCCCTATAACTTCATTGATATGCGGCGATCACATAAAACTCTGGTTGCACATCTCTACTTTGCCCGCCCAGCCCTAATTCTATGTCTGATAGCTTTCTCAATCTCTCAATTTTCCAAGATTATCAACCCAGGATATCGAAAGTGCACTCTTTTTGGTACTTCTTCACCATCAATCTTAACTACTTCCTCGTTTCGACTCCTATTATTACTAAACTTGCATTTCATATACTCTGTCTTAGTCCGGCTAACTTTAGATTTTAGAACATCTCTCCAAAGTTCTAACTTTGTGTTGACATCGCTTCAAGTCTCATCAATCAAAACCGTCACTTGCAAAAAACATACACTACAGTACCTCATCTTGTAGGTGCCTAGTTAAGTCATCCATAAATAAAACAAAGGCATGGGCCTACTTAAGTCATCCATAAATAAAACAGAGGTATGGGCTCTCTCTCTCTCTCTCTCTCTCTCTCTCTCTC